ATCACAATGCATAAAAATCAAAATAAAGCAATAATTTATGAGATCCGAAAAAAGAACAGACTCACAGTTTGCAATCTGGTGTACCAGATCACGTCGGGCTCACTAATGAACATGCCACAGGTATTTGGAGTTTGAAAACGCTTTAACCAGTAACACCTCCTAATGTCAATCGTGCCCATCAAGTGAAATCAGAAGACAGAACCTAGGAGGTTCGAAGATATGTTTGTTAGGCTATCAATATATCGAGGATCGATTGATCTAATCTGGCTAGTGATTGCATGGGATGTTGAGCACGACGTCCTCACTCGTGATCTGGTGCGGATGCATGACCGAGCGCCTTCAGTTAGGTGAGTCCTTTAAAACGAATGTGGTCAGCATCCAATGTTTAAGACTTAAAGAGCTATTTATTTTGGGGATTTATTTACCGCTACACACTCACCTCGCTGCATGCTACAATCCACCGTGAATAGACATCTTGGGGGTTAACAACTACGCTTGTCACATTACCCAGTCAATAATAGGAGGTTTTCAGACAGCTTAGATGAAAATACAGACTGAAAACTGATGTTTAATGGGGTTCAGAGGAAAGCAAACATCCGAATAGTTATTTTTTAAGTCCAAAGGATTCAATAACAGAAGACCTATTGTACTCTTTAAGGGCACAGGTGCAAGGATATCTTTTCATGATCAACGACATTTTTGGTAATACTTAAATTAAAATTTATAAAATTGAAAACATCAGTGTTGATGCGTTCTAAACCATCAAAATCATAAAATTTAGCTTAGTGAAGGGAAACGCCTCGGTATTTTGGGTAGTTTGATTTTTATAAAAATCTAGAATTAGCACTATCTTCCCAATTTGATCGCCTTTCGCTTTTATTTTCGCTGAACAGTGGAATAGCTGAGATCATTGACTGTCAGATCTCCAGTAAGCGCTGAAGTTATAAGTGTCCATTCAGAATGATCAAATATTAAGTGTTCGAAATTACCAAATTATTACTTGAAATTTTGGTGAGAATACATGTTGGTGGAGAGGTTAAGGAAACAAAGGATGAAAGTACTAACATGTAACTTTGTGAAGACCTAACCACTGTAAGTTTTATTTTGGTTTAATTTAGTATTTCAGATGAAAGAAAACTACATGACATATTTGTGGTCATTTTGCATTCACTTCAAATGGTTCAACGAAGTGACGGCGACTAAGCTGAGAGGTCTTTATTTTAGAACATTCACAGAATGCAAGTGGGAACTCACTGTTGTGTTCCCAGTTAGTGGTTGATCCTGAGGGTGTCCGCATGTGATCACTGTTATGTTCTTATGATCTGTTAATATACCATGTAGTAACATCACCATTTAGAACACCGACTTATTGATCGAACCAATGACGCATGAACTAGTACGAACAGCCTGGAGTCAACCCTCATTTCTTATTAATCCTTCGAGGTAGAAGCTTCTAACATAATTCAATCAGTTCAGTCCAAAACACTAATATCAAATTCCGGTATGTGAATCATGTATTTCAGACATACGTGGTTCATATTACAAGCAGATTAGACCGCACCATACCATAAAAGAGAAAATAACAATTATACAACATCAGGAAAAAAGTGGCTGTGAGTGTCAGATACTGTAACCAATAAATTGGGAGAGACTTAAGAATAGTAAACTGTATATTTGTAGTCAATAGGTCAATTGGAAGCTTGTAATAAAAAGAATATGAATATACATATTATATAGTTACTGAATAGTTATGCAATAAAAATGTATATATAATAACCGTCAATAGATATTGAATATAAATTCGGTTACATTTAGTGTGACAAATAGGAAATGTGGTTTTTGTACTGTCGTTACAAAAATCAGTGAATATACATGTCACAATACGGTAAACTCTAGCTTTCCGAACCTTACCTTTTGTGATTGCAACGTAGTCAATGTAACTGATAAGACGTTCACATACATCTCCCGGTGTTATGAACTGTTCTGGAGTCAGTATGGTGTGACCTATGAAATCAGAACAATCCCATTTGAATTGCTTGACTATAATTACACATTTTGACTGTGAATGAAAGCCCTCTTTCAGAATTGAAAACATTTTGGTGTTATAACAAAATTAAATATTATCTTTCAGACAATCTGTACAAGCTCTATCCCAAAAGGATATAATAACACTCCTGTATTGATAAGATTATTTAATTATTGCACTTGGTAATACTCTTATATAATTTGTCAAATTATCTGCTGAATGTAATTTAAATCTGAATACTGAGTGAGTAATTATTGTTTGGATAAACGGGTAGTAACATTTGTTTGGGTAATAATGTACACCTAAAGTCATAGGGATATTTAGGACCATCACGTACCCAGTTACTTTGTTTTGAAATCGACAGGGTGATAGCACTAATTTACATTAATATAAACAGTTATTCCTCGTCGTTATGTCTTGTGGCTCATCAAATATCACGTGAAAACTAGGATACTGACTTCTATGACCTTTGTCCCTGTGCCAAACTAAGGATGCGTCAAACAACACGAGCAACATACTGCTAATTCTGAGTCCTTATTGGTCTTCTTTATGGTAGCTTTTGCCTAAATCAGCTCGTTCAATCCAGAACACAAATATCAGCCTCCGATATATGAATCGTATATTTTGAACATACGTTATTTAAATACAAGAAAATTAGGCCGCATGACACCATAGAATGAAGAATGACAGTTATATCAGTTCAAGTTAAAAGTGAGTGTGAGGACAGGAAACTGTAACTAACAGATTGGGAATAAATTCAGTCACTTGAGTCACACAACTTGCTGGAGTGAGAATTAAGCTTGAAACAAAATCGCCAGTGCAACACTCACCTACAAGGTGAGTGTAAAAGTGCTTGAGGATACTTGATACCCCAAACATTTGAACATTAAAACGAGAAAGCTGCAGACACCGAAATGGATCTTATTTTCCGGAGACCTCTAAATAACGCTTGAAAGCTTCATTTACGTTCACTAAGACGGCTAGACACATCCTACTCACTGACATAAACTAGTAATTTATTTCCATTAACACGCAAACCAGGAACGTTGGTTTTCTATCTACATCATTCTAACAAACCAACTATACTTACGATTTAGTTGATAATACCATCATGTAATCGACAAAAAAGACGAATCCTCAGTTGCTAGACTCGATTTTTATAGTGACTGATTCGAATCAATCCAACGAGGTGTTTATTTCCACAAGACTATATCGGTATGCCAAATGAATTCGTAAATACAGATAATGATAACAAACAGTAGTCCCATCTGGTATCAGAGACAGTCGTAAAATGTTTTGGCGAGAGATATTCGTGATATACATAATCGAATCCGTATTTTAAGAACAGTAACAAACGGGATAAGTCTAACGTAGCTCTCATATTAAGGGCTGATATTTTTAGCTACGACCAAGAGCGCTCCATATTTCAAACCTCCTGAATGAGTTCAAGGGAAGATTTGTGTTGTAACGGGTGGACTGAAGATTAGATGCGCAGAGTATTTATCGACCGATCCAGTGACACGTAAGGACGACCTAAAGTCCCGCTTCCCTGTTTAGTCCAGCCAGTTGAGTCCAGAACACAAGTCACAGCCTCTGAAATATGAATCATCATATTTCAGACATACTCTATTTATATACCAACCAACCAGACCACATCGTACCATAAAATAGAAAACAACATTTGTACAATATTTAACAGGTGAAATGAATATCGACCAATGGAAATGTCCATTTAACGTCCAAGGACACCATTAGACTTAACACGATAATTATTGGTATATTCCTCTGCATCCCTAACAATTTGTAGACAAGAATCTTAAATCAATTTGCAAATCGCAACCATCTCATACTCTGCGATTCAGAAAGTAAACTTGGCTCGATTGCCTCAACATTATTTGAAAGTTCAGAGACCCACGGCGATTTGCTAGTTGTGCTTACTTAACTGTATCATCCGGAACAGTGTGGGTTGAACCAAGATCGCCAACGCTCCATACAAATCCTCATTTGTCTATGTATACAACTCACTCTATAGTTAGATATCTAACCAGCAACCATTCTACCAAACCTCAACACAACTGAAATCAAGATCGCCCAATTCGCCTGACTAGTACGTGCATTAATCAATAATCAAGCAAGTACAAACTAGGAAAATATGTACGACACATCAAAAATCTGTCAGACTTTCCACTAGCCTGTCGGAAAAATAACAATCAATCACTACTTACTTCCGCCCACGCAACACTTATGTTTGAGATGACACACTTCAAATCATTGTCAAGCAAACAATTCTTGTGCCAAATTCAGTTCTCGGCACACTAACCTTGTGTTGGTATAGATTTAATGATATTCACTGTAAAATAACTCTGCACACAAGCAATCTGAATTTATGCTTAACACCGAAAATTAATTCTTTTTTCAAAGTATATCAAATCATAGAAAATGAATCAGTTCAGTAAAAATGTTTATTGAATTGCTGCCATTATATCATTCGTTAATTGAGCAAGTTAAAATGTTTATCTTTTAAATAGATTATAACGACTAAACTAAAGGAGAGCAAACAGACTATGCTCAAAAAGAAACAATACAAACATTACATCAAATTACAACAAATAGAGTAACCTCTTGAGAAAGTCAGTAAAGTAGCTAAATAACAAAAAAATATGTAAATAGGCATACAAACGAGGTATACAAACGAGTAGAGAAAAGATTGTATGCAGTTAATTAAACCAGGTAGAAACAGAAAAATACTCAGCAGTAATAATATAAAAAGGAGAACAGAACAACATTAAAAAAACTAGCTGCGTAAATAACCTTGAAATGCATTGATATTAAAAGTATAAATATGCTCGATAAAAAGTATTTCAGTTGAAATAAATAGCAAGTGTAACTATAAGTAGTAATATAAAAAAGCATGAAGGTATGTATATGCGTATATATCATCAACAAAATAAGACTGCTGCAGAAATAAAATAATTCACACAAGATCATCTGCAGTATACAAACTTGGAGCACATACAAGATCTCGCAATATTAAACTTCTTGCCTCCTTCATTCGTAAACTTAAATTTTTATCACCCAGATGATGACAAGCATTGCATATATGATGTAATAGTTCATCGAGTTGTAATAAGCCACGAACCAAGTGACCTTCAGGAACACTAGTCATACTAACCAATGATGAGAATGAATAACCTTGAGCCCAAGCAAAAACAGCATTTACAGCTTGTAGAGTTATCCTTGTGTCTATAGATGGATCAGTAAGACCATATTTAGTCTGTAATTGCTCTAGCTGGAAAAGAAGAAAAACAAAATAAATCAGATTTGATACTGTTTAAATGTGTTGTTCTCCAAGTTTCAGCTCCGTACAAATAGGACAACTACTATAACAATCATAAAAAAGTACAAGTATTTCTAAACAGTTGTCTACACAAGATACTCAACGTCCGTTGGCTGGAGACCATTAACAACCAACTTCCAGTTGAAGAGAAATCAGGAAAACACACTGGAGGAGGGTAGGACATGCACTATAGAAATAATCAAACTGCGTTACGGAGTAGGCCCAAACTTGGAATCCTGAAGGTAAAATCTAAAGAGGGAGGTCAAAGAACACATTCAGTCGGAAGTTGGAGGCACATCAAAAGAATGAATACCAATTGAAAACAGCTGGAAAGAAGAGTTCGGAACAGATTTGCTTGGAGAATCCTGGTCGGTGGCCTATGATCCCATGAGGGGTAACAGATGTAAGTAGTAAGTATCTACGTGGAACGACTGCAGACAGCTTTAAACTTTTCATGTATAGAATTTTGGACCAGTAACATTTATGTTTCTTCCTAAAATATACTTATTTAATGGAAGTATATCTGATGAAATGCCCTTGAATATAAAAAATAATTTAATAATTTATCAGCTAACCCTACTCAAATATATATGGATAAAAAACATAACATGCTTAAAATTGCACAACAATGATAAGAATAAATTTCACAAGTTGAAATCATGAGTCAATTGAAGCTAGACCACCATGGGAAACCTGGAAGCACTGGACGGCCGTTTCGTCCTGGTATGGGACTCCTCAGCAGTGCGCATCCACGATCCCGCACCTTGCAGGATTCGAACCCAGGACCTACTGGTTTCACGCGCGAGCACTTAACCATTAGACCACTGAGCCGGCATCCAACGGTGTTAATGTCTAACTTCAACCAATCCACGAAGTTGCGCCACCGTACACCATTGTCTTCAGTGAGTTCCTTTCTCACAACGGATCTGGTTGAACTCCACTGGTAACGACTTCTCACTAGAACTCCAGGAGTATCTCCTGAAGTCAAAATAAATTTGTTTTATATAACTCATCTATCTATTTACTTGAATTGACTTAAACGCTATTATTTGTTTCTGTGATAAGTTACGACTAGTGACACTATAACATGGCTCATCAAACAAAAATCAGCAAAGCAGGTTAAAAGCTGGGTATTTTAACTGATAAACAATCACTTCACAAGTATTACATTAAATTGTAGTAAACGTGAACGGGTGTAGAAATATATTGAATATTATGAAACAGTCTGATAAGTTGAGCTATGAACAATAAAACTGAATAAACAGTATACATAACGTACATCCTAATGTTGACTAGTACAAAAGAGTTTTTCAGCATACTACAATCTGAATAATTGCATAAAACTTGTTCATTAATTACAGGTACTTGTAATAGTGAAGAACTTAAAGCTGATATTATGGTTTAACAAGTCAGCTTTCAGCATTTTAATTTAAAATTGTCTGAGAGAGTATTATCAATGACATTCGTAATATCCAGAAATGAATGTAAACGTGGAAACATATGAATCACTGAATATTAGATCAACAGTTTGAAGGTGAAAACTGACCTGGAGGTCTGTATATTTAGGGTTTACTATCTTGCAGGGTTGTCATTTCCCGGATTTCAATGACTGTTTAGCTAATTTAACTCACACTTTAGAGTTTATTTCATTTAGTCCAACTCATATGGTCCGTAGTCACCAAAAATAGTATTTTGGTTTAAATTTCAGTTCATCAAAGCATAATTCTATTACAATCAATACAATAATATCACCTGTAGCTAATAACAATAATCTTTCACAATTAAAGATTCAAACTGATCTTAACCACCACTGAAAACCTGGAAACGCTGGACAGCTTTTTAATCCAAACAGTGTGAATCCACGACCCAACATACGGGAATTAAATCTTCGGTTTCACACACGAACGCTTAACCTCTAGACCGCTGAGAGAACATTTAACGGTCTAAACGTTTAACTTAAACATCATCCGGATACTACTTTGAGAAAAAACTACACTACATCACTGCCATGAATTATCATAGATAATAATTTATAAAACAGATATAAATCATTTAAAACAAAGTAGCATAATAACTGAAAACCAAAAGTGAACAAACCTCTATAGCAGATAGTACAATCTTTTGTAATGCAGGTATAAGATTTGAAGGATAAGAAGTAACATCTGAACAACTATTAGACAGATGATTTTGATTACAATCATCATTAGTAAAATTCATTAGAGATCCAAGTAGACTGTGTAAATATTGTCCATCGTGTTGTTGTAATTGTTCTGTATCAGTAGTGGAACGTGTTTCAAATACAAAACACGATAAAACAGCTGCTAAATCAGGAGCCGATAAATCAGTGAATGAACCATTTAGTAATAGTTGAGTAATTAACACTTCCATTTTTGTCAATTCACAAGCAATTCGACCTGAATTAATGCAACAAAAAAGAAGTAAAAAAACGAATAGATTCAGTTATTCAGAGGCTGAGAAAAAATTAAGGTTTACAAACAACTTTTCAGATCTGATATGTGGTTATCAATTGCAATATATTAGTCGAACGCTTCACGTAAGCAATAACAAAAGATCCAGGAACGAATATACATCATAGCACAAAAACTAGGTTAAGCAGAGTTTCATGTTGACTACTTCTAAGTTTAAATAGTGTTGGTTTGACAGAATGGAAATAGTATGGAAAAAATATAGGTATAGCAAAGTCATATGAACAGTACAAACAGTACTGACTAGAAGAGTTGGATAAAATATTGGAATAAGACTTGATTTACTCAAGTGCATGTGACATTCTCTTGGGATATGTTGAACAACAATCTGAAAAAATCCACGAACCGTAGAATATACAGTATTCTGCGAGTAATTACTTTTAAATGTTTTCTGAATGACAGCAGCATTGAATAAAAATCTGAAACGATCACTATATTTCGCAATCGCATCTTCAATACGGTCAATAATAAAACAATTGATTGATTTTCGTGAAATGAAGTAAACAGAGGGTAAAAGTTTCATTTAATCGATAATAAAATCGAAATTTGGTATAAAAAAAACAACAACATATAAAACAGCTTGATATCAAACAACTTTTCATTGTCATTCTTTTGTATGACAATGATTTATGGTAATTTCTCTTATTGCCCGTACAGTGTGTTACAAGAAGTCGAGAAGAAAAAAACCCAACATAAGTTTATGATAAACGGATAAAGTAACAATCTATCGATAAACATTTAATTTAATAATACGTTTCCAATTAGATGATATTTTAAATCTAACATCAAATAAAATGAATGATTAAACATTATTCATACTGATTTAGTGAATTAGTGATATTGATAGTCAGTCGCTAAGATACTTTATTATTGAAATCTTCATTATGATGTAACTCACCTATCAAATACAGGTTTATGTCATTTGAATTTGAACTATACCATTTGAAGGAGGACTAAAGATATTGTTCCACTGCTCAAAATGCATTAGATAAAACAGGATCTGAACCTGTAACGATGTACTGATTGAAAACTAAATATTTAAACCGTTAAGCGACTGTTCATCTAGTCAACCTTTTTTTACGATCGATTAATGTGTAAATTTTTTGCGAAGCGATAATGTATATAATTTCATATCACTCAAAAAGAGTTTTTTCCTTACAATTTAAAATACAGTATATGATAAAAATAATAAAAATGTCTAACCTTTTAAAGTCAAACAACCAGTATGTGTTGCTGAATCGATAAAACCCAATTCTTCAAGAACACACAAACGTTTCACATACTCCGTATTTAATTGTAACTGCGAATTAGATAAACTATCTTCAATTCGTTTTACAGCCCATCTTCGACGGCAGGTACGGTGAATCAGTTCCAAATGTGCTACAAGATCAGGACAACTAATCGGAGCCAAACGCTGAGTAATAACCGATGTCAGAAGTGGTGTTGTTAGTTCATCACTGAGTAAAGCGTGTTCATCAAACACACAAGCATCCTAAAAATTTAAATGATCACAAACAAATTATTTATAGATAGTGACAGTTGTATTATGAAGGTTTGAAGAAGTACTCACTAAGCGATATGAGATTAAAGCACTCATATTTCAACAGATTGGTAGACTATGAATTCAAAATCCAGCTTGACAATGATGATGTAACTCACTAATAGGTTTATGTACCCAAACATTGAGCCAAATCTTTTATGTGCTAGGCAAACAGCCCCGTTGCTGAAACTGAAGCAAATATGGCAGGACTCAAACATGGAAACTAGTGGCTGGAAGATGAATTCGCTAGTGAAAAAAGTGTCACCACTCCAGCTTAACAATAATAAATGTGATGACTAATCAATTATAAAAACTGTACTTGAGTAACTACTGGAAAACCGCAGTGCAAATATTTTATATAAACAAAAATATGGAAACAATAGGAAAAGGATAAACGTGGTTTATATAATAGTAAAAATTTTTTTAGATCAAATTGACTTATTCACCATGTTCCTTGGTATACTACCCGCATGTCTAAACCCAATTAAGTGCAGCGGGAATCGAACCTGGGACTTAACCATAAAGCCACCGCTCTCTAGGAAAAGAAAAATTCCCAAACTTGTGACAAAATGGAAAACAGGATAACGGCCATGTCTTTTTTAATCATCAATGTTTAACTATTGATATAACTTTTGTTGTCGTATTTTATTATTCTTACTATCAGTATTGTTACTTATTATGTGTGGTGACTTATTCTATTTCATTGTGATCATTGACCCATATTGCCTTGATTGGTTTAACATTTTCGTATAAATATTCATGTATATTAGAGTAAAGCCTGGTGACGATCTAATTGAAAACAATTGTTCGCTTATATGTGTTGTTCTAATTTTCACAATTGGAATCTTTAATATATACATATATATAAATTTTACTGTTCAACATGATAATTACCTCCTCTGAAATTCCTTTGAACTTCAATGATGTTCGTAAGTCAACTTTAGTAGGGCAGTTAACTGGTAGACCAAACATCGGTGACATAGAAGATTCCGGCATCAATGAAATTACAAGATTAAATAAATTCGCATTTAATTCATCCATAAGAACTAGGGGATCACAATCACTTGCAGTTGAGTTTGAACCAATCACTAAATGCATACCAGCTTGTTTAGCTGCTATTTGCTGACGATGACGTTTAATACCACGAAGTAATAATTCTGATGGCGTTATATTTGCATTATTTACAGTATTATTACAATATTGTTTTACAGTAAAAACATGATCAGTAATTCGTACAAATGATCGAATAGACAAATTGGATAATAACGTTAAACGAGCATAACCATCTTCCATTGACTAGTGGAATTTATAATGAAAAATAAACGTAGAATCATGAAAAGACAATACATTTTATGAATTTTACCTGAGAAAGAATTCCAAAATAACAAATTTAATTAAATAACAGAATATTTAATTATGTATGATAATAAGCATAATTTCATAATCCAGTTCGCTAAACTGTACGTATCAGAACTGTTCAACTTAGAAATGAAAGCAACAATTGCACTAAACTGATATACGATAAAATAAAGGTATAGAATTAGCTAAATCTTAATTTTAATGGTATTTGATGAATAGTTGAAAACAGAAAAAGAACATCTTATTATCGTTTAATGACTAAATAGAAGTTCAAAAAGCAATAATTTATTTAAAGAACGCTTCATTTGTTATTGAGTCGACATAAATCGATTACAAACATTAACTCTTGACGTATCTGTGGCGATCAATGCGTCTGTACGTTTGAAAAAACTTCTGTAAGAATGACTACAATAGCGTAAATGACAGTTGGTATTGTGGTGTGTGCTACTGTTGTCGATAGATATAAATAGTATGTAGCACCAAAAGAAAGTGAAATGCCTGAAGATAGAAGGTTGAGAAAACGGAAGAGAACAAGAACAGAGAGTGATTGGTATGGGGACGAAGGAACAACAAAATCTGAGACAACTGATGGATATCTTGCAAATGAAGTATTTACTGTACAGTTCTCAGATTTTTACCAATATATTCTGCAATGTTGTATTAAAGTACACTTAGTTATCCCTGCCGGTGTTCTCGTTCACTAAAGTATCTGTGTCTAATGTTCATAACACTTTATCAACAATCAAAGTGAGGTCTAAGAGCACGCAAATATGGAAACTGATGAGTTTAAACAAAGGCTTAGGAAATGTACAAAACTGTAAATCACTGTTACAAGGGTTAATAGAAAGTAATTATAATAATAAATACAGTGAACGTTATTAGCTTATGCAAATATTTTCGAATATTAAACAGATAAATGTGCGTCACGTTCAGAAATTATTGAGAAAAAACTTTACTGAATATAAACAAGTAATGTAAAGCAATGCGCAAAAGATGGGCTGAATGAGAAGAGAATAAAGACAGAAAATGGCAACAAATTTAACAACATATGATAATTAAATATGGTGCAAAACCTCAAAAATCACGTCCTTAATTCTAATCCACCCATTCCTATAGTATAACTTTACTGAAATGTCATTCAATTTTGAATTTAAAGCAAAAATCCAAGGGTTATTCTCTCGATGACAGCTGGCTTGTGTTAAATGTATTATTTTTAAGGACAATATTTGTTGGAGATATTTTGTATTAAAGTATACTATTGTACCAGAAATAAAAAGGCACTATTCTAATGGTCATTTTTTGATATCAGTTCATTTATGTGCGAAGAGAAATTGCGTCTAATTATATCAAATATCAATCAGTATTTTATTTATTGCCACGTTTGCATGATCATTTATTATAAACATTTAAACTTACTTTCATGTTACAATGGAAATAATAAGTACTGAATTGCTTCAATACAACTAAATATGAACCGTTTCGCGTCATCTCAAATATCACCATTTGACCTTCGACTTCCCATTTCCTTCACATACGAGCGAAATATGGTGGGTATAATTAAACAATTATTATTTACTAATGTCACATAATTTCCGAGTGTTAATTGTTAATTAGAAGTTCTTGATCAGCCGTTGCAAAGAATTTGTGAATAAATATAAAAACTTCTTACAAAAATACCATATTTTAGAAGAAAAAAAAATTCATAGTGATAAATATGCATACAATCGAACTGGTGATAATGAACTCTGTATGACAGTCAATTGAAAGATAAATGCTTGATGGATACATTTTTTTCAAATGTGCTCGACTTCTGTGAAGTTCATTTCACGTGGAATTATGAAAATATGAGGCATTTTACTTGTCGATTTATGGAACAAAGATAATTGGATAGTAAGCAAGGTAGTAGTCAGAAGTAGTCAACAGGATACCCTGAATATAGGTTTCGTGCCACCTGACACTCGTTAGCATAGTGTACCAGTAATTTTGAGGGAATTGATGCTTCCTGTCGGAATCGACTACGTGTCACCCAGCTTCATTTGAATTAGTGGCCATATTGCAAATTGGTCAATAGAATTTTATCAGCATTAAAAAGGACTTGACATATATAATACTGGTCACCACTCAGTGGCCAAGCAACTGTAAATTATTGGTTAGTACTATATACAAACTAATGAGCGATGTGATTTATTACCTAATTAGGTGTTCCTATAAAGAACTGTGCATCTTGAGCATGTGTTTCGTGGTAGTGACGTACGTAGGAGAATTGTCACAATAAACTTAGAAAGAGGTTTTCAAAGTTCTTGTGAGTAATCGTGATGTGTATAGTCGACCAAGTCAGAGGAGGGCAACTCGCTGATGACCATGCATTCAGGGTATATATATATATATATATATATACTTACCTCAGGTGTATAAACAGGCATTAATTGTGGAGGGTATGGTGTATTAGACAGTTGAGAATCTTCACCTTCTTTCAAAATATCCTCTTCATCAAATTCATTGCATTGAGTAGTGTTATTGCTAATATTTTCTTGTTTTCTATCATTTACATCATTCACTGAAACGGTCTGATTTATCGATTGATGATTACACTTTTTAAATGATCTAGAATGATTTGGTAAATTAGACAATTCCCAAGTGATAATATCGCACTACAAGAAAGGAACAAAAAATACTAGAATCAAGTGCGCAAAACCAATCAAACAATAATCTGTTGGCATTAAAAAAGGAAAACAAAGTATTTTAGATGATTAAATTAATATTGTCATAAGGATAGAGTACAGACTATTACATTTTCTGATTAGGATCTATCGCAATTAATTGACTGACTGATTGATTTTCAACTAATTAGCACCCGAGAGAGGAGAGAGTCCGCTCTCCCTCTCGAAATGCTCTCACATGGCCACGCGTATATAGCCTCTGCCAGGGAAGTCCTACTCACTGCCTTCTCGTGGCCGGGGTGTTGTTTACGAAAATGAGAGGAGAAAAGCGAATGTCCGGCACTTTAACCGGATTCCAAACCAATGGTGCACATGGGCTCCAGTATCCTGCGGGAATAAATGGCGTATGAACCAATTGTTGGTCACCGGCTAACATGGGACTGCATCTCCTCACGATGCTCCACTGCCTTGTGGATCAGACCTCCAGGTCGAAGGCTCGGGAAGTGGCCCCCTAAGAAAACCACCTGCTTCGGTTTGGGTACCCGGGCAGTACCACAGCCCTCACACATGTCGAATGAGATTTGTGTGGCGCATATGCATTTGGTGCCTCCTTGTACCAATATCTATGTGTTGAAATAAATAAATAAAATAAAAAGTGGACAAATAGTGAGTGTTAGAAGATCCCTCATATTTTTTTTCTATTACACTAATTCATTTTCTTGAATCCTATCTTTTATAGCTAGTCTTTTGTATTACCAATATAACACTTACTAACCCTACTATTCTTGAATTCACGTTAACAATTTAATGTGAGGACTAAGCAACTTGAACCAATGTACACATGCCAGGTTCTTCGTTGCGTATGAATAACTGATGAAAATGGAAAAGTCCATTTTGTCTTTTACATATGATCTAAAATAAATCGGTACAACTCACTTGTATTTCACTTTCGTTCTTGAATTTTTTCTTTGTTAAATTAACCAAAACACCTGGTACTAACCAATTGGGTTGTTTTGTTGTTACTTTATTATACAATGATGAATTATCAGTTTGTGGTAGATTAATAAATACTATACGACCTGGACAGAAGACTTTTTGTAGATCAGTTAGATTTTCTTCAGAAAGTAAACGGACAATGGATGATGTAAGCTTTTGATAATTGCAACAGGCCTAATTTATTTGCAAAAAAGATGAAGATAAACAAAAGAATAACATTTGTAAAAGTCTGATGATCAGAGAGAAAATATAACTAATTATTTCACATACATAAGTACACAAACACATTAAATGTGGAATTGTATTTGCAAAACTTTCACTGATTGAAATTTCATTAGTTTCAATGATACACAACTAGCCGATCGACTCCGAGATTCTTCGGGGAAATAATAATCATCATCAAGTAAATTTTGACTTTTATTTCCCCAAAGAAGTTCGTACCGGATTTAAATCTTAACAAAAAGAAAATACAGTAAAAATATTTCAAAAATGTGCAAGCTGATGACAACTTATGTACCTATTTAATCTGAGCGAATATAATAATAAGAAAAAATGGCATAACACATTTAAGTGAGGATACTTTCAGCATTCACATCCATCACCCTGTCATAGTACAATTATGAAACTTAATCTCTACAAACCACTAAATATACAATAAAGGAAAATCTAGTGATGACAATTACAAAAACATGTACAAGTATATGCGTGCATGAAACAAAATAAACTTGAAATATGTCACTTTTTTGGTACATTAAAGAAAATACTTGGACTAACGAAGTATAACTTCAGAAATATATTGAAAAGCAGTGAACCATAGATAATATGAAATTGGTTACTTTACATTGTGATTAATTTCTAACAATCATCGACAACTCCGAGCGTAACATCTTCCTTGACGAGATGGTTGAGTTTGATGATGACTCAATCAAGCTACAGTGGCTGGAACATATGTACCTACCTTTAGGTCGGTTGAGGAACGGTAGGATTAAAAGCAGCAACTCAATGTTCGAAAGTCAAGTCATACTAGTGACTTTAGAGAGGGGCGATGTCAGTAAGTTGTTCACCACAAACAACTAGCAACTACTGACTGTCCACAAAGGAGGGAAAGGGTAAGAAAAAGTCAACCCTGAAAATGTCACACCTTACCTTACCCTATGGACTTTCGTCTCCGGTGGTAAAATTTGCTAAGTACTCATTTAACTTACAAAAAATCAGTGTGACCGGCTTTAATCAGTTGCTCCTCGTGCTCTGTAATTACGCTGTGGTGCATGCTACTTATATTGATATAAGTAGTATATAGCGCGAGTCAAAAGAACGCAATGTCTGGCAGCAGATGGAGAAGATCAAGAAAAGAAGAGCGAGAAAACAATGGAATTTGTACGAAATCGCATGAACAATGAAATGCGAGACAATGGATATGATAGAATGATATTTTGCAAATTAACGATTTACTATATGGTTCTTCTATTTTACCAAGTAATTCTGTAATTTGCCCTAAATACAATTTGGCTGTCCTCACCCGTGTTCTTCTTCACTACATTTGGTGTCGCTGCCTCCACTAAGGATGAAGATTCCATGGCCGAAGGAGTTTGAGGCCGTGGCGGAGCTGGTGGGAGTGAAGGAGCCGAAGGCGAAGTTGGTGGTGCTGGGGACGCTGCTGAGAGGCAGGGCGAAGGCTGTGTATGACAGCCTGGACGGTGCTGGCGGGAAGACCACATGGGAGGCAGTCACGGAGCGGTTGGCGGCGGAGTTCGACAGCCCAGTGGACAGAGAAGACGCGCTGCGGAAGTTCCGGTTGGCGAGGTTGCCGGTCGATGGGGACCCACTGGCGCTGGCTGTGGAGCTTACCAGGTTGTTGCGCCGTGCGCTGCCGAGTCTGGATGAGGAGTCGGAGGCACAGTTGTTGGCGTCACAGTTTATCGAGAGTGTGCCTGCCACCGTCTCCCAACAGCTGAAACTGGTGAACGCAGCGCAACCGATGGATATCAGTGAACTGGCGAAGGTGACTCGTCAGCTGATGACGCGAACAGTAGCTCCGGTCGGGTGCGGAAAGCAGGAGATGAGTAATGTCGAGAAGAAGATTGAGGAGCTGGAGCGCGAGATTGCAGCAATACGAGTGAACAATAAAAGGAACGATAAATGTTACGCTTGTGGAGGGACAGGACATTGGAAGATAAACTGTCCAACAAGACGAAGACGCAGATATGTTAGACGTTACAACGAGTATTCTTTCTATCCTAGGAATCTGGGGATTGTTGCGTTAGTAGACAGAGGGGCAGTATATACGAGAGTGAACATAAATGAGCGAGATTTAGTTTGTCTGATCGATACAGGTGCAGCAGTATCGTTAATAGGCAAAGAGCAATGTAAGAGAATCAAGCCGTGTACATTAGCTGTCCACACGATAGGGGGCCATATGTTAGAGGTGTTTGGCGTATCTAACAGTATCGTAAAAGTGGGGGATGCGGAGATAAATTTTCCGTTCGTCGTAACCACAAGCTTATCGAGACCGATATTAAGAGCAGATTTCCTAAGAGAAGTAAAAGCGATAGTTGACTTAAGAAGCGGTAAGGTGGTCACGAAATATGGTTCATTGACAATACACGAAAGTAGCGAAGTGGCTGAAATAAGAGTTGCAGCGGATGTCTCGTCAAAGAAACCAAACATTCACGAGTTATGCAAAAAGTATGCCAAACTATTCACTGGAGATGGGGAGCCGTATGGATTTTGTGACAGAGTAAAGCACGAAATACCGATAAAGAACAGTCGAGTAAATATATTTGCAACACGTCGTGTCCCGGTGCATTTAGAGGCCGAGGTAAATCGTCAGGTCCAGGAAATGTTAAAAGAAGGTATAATTGAGGAAGCGGACAGCCCATATAGCTCGCCGGTACTCTTGGTAAAGAAACCAAATGGAAAGTATAGATTTTGTGTCGACTTCAGAGAATTGAATAATATAACAGACCTGAAGCCTTGTGCAATGCCAACAGTGGTGGAAACATTAGATCGGCTACAGAATGCCACGGTGTTTACAGTGCTGGATTTACGGTCAGGTTATTGGCAACTGCCTATAAAAGAGAGTGATCGGAGCAAGACAGCGTTTACTGTACGGGATAAACAGTATCAATTTAAACGGATGCCGTTCGGGTTGGCGGGTGCACCGTTCACGTTCAGAAGATTAATGACACTACTGCTCAAGAATCTAGATAATGTCGAGGTATATGGCGACGACGTAGTTGTGTACAGTCAAACAGAAACAGATCACATCAAGCATGTGGAAGCGGTCTTAAAGCGAATTGACGAATTTGGACTTCGGATTAATAAGGACAAGTCGCAGATAGCGAGAAGTAGCGTCACATTGTTGGGACATAAAGTGGGAAATGGAGAAATAAAACCATTGCCGGAGAAAATTCTTACCATAAAAAATATTGCAGTACCTAATTCGAAAAGGAAGTTGAGACAGTTCCTGGGAAGAGCGGCGTTCTACAGTCGGTTTATCAAGAATTTCAACGAAATAGCAGCACCCTTATATAAGTTATTGAGCAGCACCAAGTTTACGTGGACTGAGACTGCAGAACAAACGTTCAACCGAATCAAAAACATGCTAGACGATCGCCAGATGACGCTCAGACTGCCTGAACCGGGAAGACTGTTTACAGTGGCCACAGACGCGAGTGATCATGGTATAGGTGCTGTGTTGAGTCAGGCTGATAGAGTGGTGGAATACGCAAGTCGCGTCCTCACACCTGCTGAACAGAAGTATTCAACCATCGAGAAGGAGTGTTTAGCGATCGTGTGGGAAGTGGAAAAATGGAGACCATACCTTTTAGGTAGACGATTTCACATTGAGACCGACCATAAACCCCTGCAGTGGTTGAAAACAGCAAGAGACCCCCGAGGGAAGTTGGCGCGATGGATGATACGCCTGCAAGAATACGATTTCAGTATCGGCCATATTCCAGGAAAAGAAAACGTAATGGCAGATTACTTGTCAAGACCAGACATGGAAGCCGACCTGCCATTAACAGCATACGCGGTGAATAGTTTAGAGGGAGACCCATTAGAACTCGTCCGGCAGCAGAAAGCTGACCCTAACCTTCGAGAGGTAATCAGAGTGATAAAAGAGGGAGCAGACGTAGATAAACGAACAATGGACAAGGAGGTAATAACGCTGCTTCGGCAAAAGGACCGACTGAGAGTGAACTCATATGGAGTGCTGACCTGGCAGGACGATGATGAGAATTGGGTGGCGGTGATCCCGAAAGACTGGCGGCGTAATGTGATACACGAGTGTCACCAGGTAGCACATACAGGCATCGCAAGAACGACGGACTTACTACGACAAAGTGCGTACTGGCCGAGCGTGAGAGACGATGTGGCTGAATACGTGTTAACCTGCCAGCAGTGTCAGCTAATGAAAAGCGATCGATACACACAACCGCCATTACAGTCAATCCCAGTAACCGCAGTCGGTGATCTATGGTCGGTTGATGTGATGGGACCGTTTCCACAGACGGCGAGCGGTAACCAGTACCTTTTAGTGATGACGGAACATGCTACACGTTGGGTAGATGCCGTACCCATTGCAGACCAGCGGGCAAGGACAGTGACCGAGGTGGTAATCCGGCATATTGTAGCGTGTCACGGAATACCGAAGATGATATTAACTGACCAGGGTCCCTGTTTTGAAAGTGACGAGTTTAAAGCCCGTTTAAAGCAGTTTGGCATCAAGAGAATACGAACTACACCGTATCATCCTCAGACAAACGGGCTTACCGAGAGAAACAATCGGACGTTAAAGGAATGGTTAGCATCAAAAGGAGGAAATTGGGAGAAAGAGTTACCATTGATTTTGCTGGCACATCGTTCCTCCACACAAGGAACAACCAAGAAGTCACCTTTCTTGCTCATGTATGGCAGACAACCACGACTTCCAATGCATAATAAGACCTGGCCACAACAACAGAAGTGGACGACAACAAGGTTAAGAAAAGAGAGGAGAGAGGCAATAAGGAACGTGGAAAAGAAACAAATATCAGACACAAAGAAGGCAGAACAACAGAGGAGAACGTGGAAACCCTTTGCAGTGGGGGACCTAGTAAAGTGTAGAGAACGAAAAAGTAACATAGCAGGGGGAGCAGGGTCGGGGAAGCTGGCTCCAAAATGGGAAGGACCGTATGTTATCACGGAGAGACGCGGCTCGGTCTACACGATCCGGAGAGAAGACAAGCAGAAGCGCGTAAATGCTAGTCAACTACAGAGATGGTTTCAAGATCATCATGGGTGTGAACCACGAAAAGCACCAAAGAACACAGCGGTACGGAGATCAGAAAGACTACGACAGCAACTTGTTAAAAGGGGGGACGAGTGTGGTGCATGCTACTTATATTGATATAAGTAGTATATAGCGCGAGTCAAAAGAACGCAATGTCTGGCAGCAGATGGAGAAGATCAAGAAAAGAAGAGCGAGAAAACAATGGAATTTGTACGAAATCGCATGAACAATGAAATGCGAGACAATGGATATGATAGAATGATATTTTGCAAATTAACGATTTACTATATGGTTCTTCTATTTTACCAAGTAATTCTGTAATTTGCCCTAAATACAATTTGGCTGTCCTCACCCGTGTTCTTCTTCACTACAACGCTCCCGGGTAACTTAACTCAGTTTCCTTTTCAAGTCCCTCGAGAAGGAATATCCTTCTATGATTTGGAGAGCCGGGAAGTGAAAACCGTCCCCATATCTCTAAGAGCACTCGAGATCAACTGGGTAACGATATGAATCCAAAACAAAACAGTACCAGCAGTATATAGGTGTCTAAAGTTGAAATTTAACAAATAGTAATCTACAAGCATCAAACAAAGAAAAAAATCCGAAATACGCAAGTCTGTTTATCGTTCATTTTCTGACCAGTTAACAATAATAGGTGATAATGCCCAGTCTCCATATTAACAATATACGGTAATTACCATAGAATATGTATCTATGGTTTTTTAGTGTATCTGCCTATTAATTATAAATGTGTGTGAACTACAGGGTGTGTTCATAGAAGCCATATGAGAATAATTTAATATGATTGAAATGAAATCCCCCGTGAAAATGGCACTCGTAATATATAGCACTGACCTAATAAATGAACGGAAAAATTCTAGATATTAGACCTTTATTGAAAATTGAAAAACGGATGATTATCTTCACACCTAAAAACTAAATATTAAGATTAAAAACGATTATAAAGTCGTTTTAATGAAAATTTTCACTTCAAAAATTGAACACTTTTGATATAGTTTCTTTTAGATTTTATGAAACAGGATTAATCCTTGTGGATTAAGAGAAGTGAAACGTTTAAATTAAATAGTTTCTTATTAAACATATGACAAAGATATTTTATCCTAAAATAAAGATAAAATCTAATTGTAAGTTAGTTCACTTACATGCATATATACATGTATACAATGTTGAAATTATCAATGTTACCAGAACACAAATGACATATGTTTGATTTTGCAACATGTTAAACATGAAATCTGTTGATCTCTTGCAGGACCCACTTATTTCATGGATTATGAATAAACTATTCACTCACACAACCCAACGTAATTTACTCTACAAAAGTGGTTTTTTTATTCTCCTATACAATCTGGATGTCTGATAACAAAGAAAATTGGGAGGTAGTAAAAGGACCAATCCATAAGGTTTTTATGCGATTTGGTCGTCTCTAGGAATAAAATGTCTTCTGTGAAACTTTAACACAATGAAGATAATAATTTGTTGGAAGTTTACAACACCAATATTATAATAAACAATATATATATATATATATATAACAAACTAACCTGATAATAAGTAGTCATTGCATCACAACAACTTATTTGACCAAAAGGGCATTTCACTTGTAAAATAGGTTCACCGATTGGTACAGATAAACGAGAAATATTATTCATAGATATTGTAACTTTACTATTTGAACTACGAGCAATTTGATGAGGTATATTTGATGATAATCCAGCAGGTGGTATAAGAGTAGTTGTTTCATCGAGTTTTTTGCGTAAAGCTGACAACCACTGCTTACGGTCAAGTTCACGTCTAAGATTGGCTGCTTCCATGAAACTTCGTCGCATTACATCCTTCGTTTATGCATAAATAAATAAATAAATAAATAAATTACTAAATAAATAGATAAATAAATAAATAACTAAATAAATAAATAAATACATAAATTACTAAATAAATTACTAAAAAAATAAATTACTAAATAAATAAATGAATAAATAAATAAATAAATTACTAAATAAATAAATAAATTACTAAATAAATAAATTACTAATTAAATAAATTACTAAATAAATAAATAAATAAATAAACAAATAAATATATATATATTTATTTATTTATTTATTTAGTAATTTATATATATATATATATATATATATAAAGAGTAATTGCAAACGAGTAGAGATTAAAATCAAATTCTTAATATTAATTTCGTTGCAAAACAGGCAAACGAATATGTACCACATACACGTAAACAGACAAAGGAAAACAAACGAAAATTATTACACAATTCTACACATTGGATTTCAGCTGAATAGATCATCATTCTTTGTAAAAAGACAAAATAATATGAAAAATAAAATACACATAAAATTAATGTATCCACTTATTATCAATAACGAAACTACCTGTGGAGTTAACCAATTAGTTCGATGTAAATGTAATATCATAGAGTAGGTGATTTTAAATTTCGAAACTAATTGAGTTTGTCTTCCAAGAATAATATCACACAGTGTATGCTCAGATGGTAAACCCGAACTACCTGGTGTAAGTGATTTACCAATTCCACCAAGTAGAATAATTACAGAACCGGAAGCATCTAAACCACGACGACCTGCACGCCCAGCCATTTGTGTATACTCACCTGTAAGTATGAAACATTTTTTAAACGAGGAAATAAAAAGATAGAAAAAAAGTTTACAGTGATTGCATATATAAACATAAACTATCTAACAATATATCACTATTAGTAAAAGCTTGAATTATTACACTACTGGCATACACAACAGAATTTCTGATTAATCCTTGTTGGCATGCATATATATATAATGTATGGATTGCTTCGATATAGCCATTTTGTTAAGATTATTTTAAAATGAAAGAATTGTGGCTAGTAATGGAATCTAGGATGCACTAACCGTCTTACTTAAAACTCGTCAGACAGATATATCTGCATCCAAATATTGATGTTTACATTGGGACTCGAACACCACACCTTTCTTCAAATAATAGCTCATTATCCACTGAACTACTAGATCCATATAGCCACCAGTTTCTAAATGAGTACGATGTTTATGCCATTATTAGTGAGGGTTGGAATTATTCCGTTGTTGACAAACAGGACTGGGTTTTTGATCAGGTTTTGTTGGTACATGTCCATTCTGTACAGATTATCTTGATATAACTATGTTGCGTCTGCTGTGATCACCGAGGGGTAAGTAATAGTGACGTTAGACGCAGGATATTAGGGAATGATGGTAAATCTGTTGATGAGGTTGTCGATCTTCATCGACTGAGATGGTTGGGCCACGTGTTACGTATGCCCGAACACCGATTACCACGACGTGCAATGCTAACTGGTGTTGGAGATGGTTGGAAGAAAGTTAGGGGCGGCCAAACCAAAACGTGGCATCAGTGCTTGAAGACACTAACTTCTAGTCTGAGCCACGTTGGTAGATGCAGACTACTTGGTTGGGGTCCGCGTGACTTTCGTAACCAATGGTTGGAGACATGGCTCAGAATCGATGACAATGGCATCGGTGTATACACTCCCTGTCTTCCCTTAAACTAAGAGATTAAAATCGCTATATATCTTTCTTTCTACTAACTAATTCTTTCTTCCTATACTATATCCTTATATGCAATCTTTCTCCTATTTATTACCACCTTTGACCAAACCACCCCTATGAATCCGGTGTTCATCTTGCTGTGCTAATTCGGTATGGCAACCTAGACCAATGCACATATGTGCCTGGTCCTACGTTGTAGCTGACTGACTGTCAGTCAAAATCCATTTATTATAAAATACCTTATCAATAAACTATAATGAATTTCTCCACATAAATTGGGCAATAACGAATTGTACTTTAATAAGTGTTCATTGAATTCTACAAGTCGAAAATGTATTCACCTTAGTCTTCAGTAGACTAGAGGTTGATCGATGTACAACTGTGAATTTAAAGAATATTTTCGTGATCAATAAGGATTACATAACAACACTGCCTTATATATAATCTGGCAATAATTTGGCAAGATATCCATAACTAACTATAGTAACTAACAAAAGTAGTGGACAATAATAATTCAGAAAGCTTTCCCTAAAAATGAAATTTACTTGAAGTTACACCATAGAAATCTTCATGATAATGTTCATAATAAGCATAAAACAAGCAAATGTACACATTTCAACTATTCTGCTTTTAAAAAAAACAGTTACAAATTGTACAAATGATTAAATGGTGAATTCACCAAAAAAAACTCGATCTTCTTTCATTCTCAACAGATAAACTGTATCAACAATTAAAAAAATAATGGTCTTGTTCAATAAATATAAAATTAAATACCATTAACTTAATAATAATGTAGAGTGATACAATGTGTAACACATATGTGAGATTTGAATGTTATAAGTGTGTTACTAATGAGTAAATAGTTTTTTATCTAGTAATCTCCTGCTTATACTTCATCAGCTGTTAATTGTACGTTGTCAGAATGGAGACTGTAGTAATTTTTCACAGTTGAATCACTGAGCCCATCTAAGCTAAATCACCACTGAAAAGCTGGAGGCACTAGATAGCCGCTTCTTCCTAGTATGGGACTCCTCAGAAATGCACATAATTATTCTAATCCTGGTTAAGACAATTCTCATCTGTTCGAACATATTGAAATGATCCCTTTCGCGTTTGTCCGCTTAGTTACTGTTATTGTTGAGTTTATTTCTATGAATATAAGCACTTTTAAACGCAAGTTAATCATTATTTAGTGAACAATCACTTATTTTTCAGATACATACTCATATAATAAATATTTTGAGAAGCCAAGAGAGTCGTCTAATCTTCACTGATCTCGAGTGAGTTATTTCAGTGGACGTAAAAGTACAGAAGTGAAACTTCTTTATAGAGTAAGGTTGCTTAAATCACATTAGGGTGGTATGAAATAAAAAAGTGACATGAAATGATTGAACTAGTCCAGCACTATTTACTGAATTATCAGATAAAAGCTTTCCTCTATCAATATTAAAGATTAAGAACGTGAAAAAGAAAAGAAACTATTAATAAAATAAAATAAACACTGACTTGAATTTAAAGGACGACGTTTTTGACCATCAAATTTCTCCAACGTAGTAAAGATTACACAACGAGCCGGCATATTTACACCCATCGCAAATGTTTCAGTAGCAAATAAGATTCTGATTAAGCCACGTCGAAATAACATCTCCACTGTCTAATATTGTGTAAAATAACAAAACAGAACACGCTTTTATGAATAAAAATACAAAACGGTCAAATGAAAAATGAATGTACAAATTAACTGTTGGGGATGAAAGACCCCTAGAAATCACCTGGTAAACGTCTTATTTTTGTAATTTTACCTTTAAAAATTCGAATTTCTTATTTTCGCCCCAAAAGCGTCTATTTTTATTTTTACCTTTACTTTGTACTTCCCTTATGGGTTCATTTCCACTTTTAATACGCTATTTTGCGAGGTTTATCAGGGACATTTTTATGCTGTATATATACGCTTGATTTGTGTGCTTGTTGACTAGTGCTTTCTACTGCTTGTAGAACATACTTTCCCCTCGACTGAATATGGGGAGCAGTGAATAGTATAGCTTCTCTTGTCGCTGTGTTGCTGATCTTTTGTTCCGTTCGCCGATTTCTAAGTGATCTCGTAATCTCATCAATCATGGCATTAACAGTCAGTCATAAACAACGTAGAGCTTGGAACATTGATGAATCGCGTCATATACCACACCACATCTTAAGACAAATGACAAAGCAATAGTAGAAGTAGTAACAGAATCAATTGTAGCAAAACAGATTACGTCTAAACAATATGATTCGCCAAAAAAGAATAAATTCACAGAATAAAAAGTACAGGATAACTTTAAAGCTTATGATTTAAAGGAAGACTAACAGCGAATGAATCTACACGACAAAAAACCGATCCTGAGTTATATCGCCTTAGTTAACAAAAGAAACTATAAGAAGTCATTTGTTAAAATCACGGGCTAAAACAAATCAATTATCTCAACGTATGAAGTTCATTGGGATCAGGAAGCGACCAATGTTAGACCACCATGAAACCTGGAAGCACTGGGGGGCGGTTTCGTTTTAGCATAGGAATATTCAGCAGTGTGCACTAACGATCGAAGGTCCTGGGCCCGAATCCCGCGTGCGAGACCTGAAGAGATCCACAAAACTATCAGTTGATTATTCATTCATCATAAATACAATTATCCTTCACACCTATTCGTCTAAAAACTATTTTCTTCCTAGTGCATCTCATTATCTGTTTATTACGTGACTTTCTATAGCTTTATTATTGATGCAACAACTTTCTATTTACAAATAAGATCGTATAGCATAAGTAAATAACACCATCAACTACCATATAAACTGAGTCCAATGCCGACTTATAAGTCAATGAATATAGATGATGTTTGAAGCTGTAAAATTTTTCAGTGTCTCAAGACGATAACAAAGACGGTAATCTGATGGATACACCCCGTGCTTAGACCTGAAATCATATTGGTTATTACGGTCTTCTGTTGTCTAGCTACCATTAATGCATGAAATAATCATGAACTATGGGAGTGTAGAGACTATTTTAGTCAAATTGGCTTCCTGATGGCTATCATACGAGCGTTTGTCTTTTATTATTAACTGATCTGATCAAAAATTCAGATCAGTTTGAAGGGATTATCCGAATAAAACACAATACATAGACGCCTGTAATTCGGAAACAAGGTTCATGAAGTGAAGTCTACTAAAATAGATCCAACAAGAACCGAGGTATGTATATAATATCTGATAGTAGTAAACAAGTAAATAGCCAATAGCCACAGACTGATAATGATGAATTCTCAGAACAAGTTATATTCTGCTATGGTTGAGGCGAAATGAAAATACAGGTTCAGCTAGATGTCATGCATTGTAGACGTTTGAGTATAAGGAGAGTAATTTGAAGGCCCGTAAATATAATTAGTGTCCCACTTTTAGTTTTTAAAAGTTAACGTGCAGAAAATATCGGTTGACAAATAGCTTTTAAGAAATTTCACAAAATTATAAAAGATAACTCTCACCTCTTTCAAAATAGGCAACATTCCAGCATGATGAACAGCTAATCCTCTAACAGCTAATTTACTAATAAACTGAACTGAAGCAAGTTGACGATCACATCTTTTTAATCGTTTAGTGACAGAACAATGTAGAAAATTTTTAACTTGTTGTTTTTCACCTGTTTTTAGATGTGAAAGAAACCATAAAGGCAAACTCAACTTCGTATTGAAGCATATTATATTATAATCACAAAGAAGAAACACGTTGTCTAGTTTAAAGTAATAACAATATTGATCAGTAGTGCCCATGGACTGCAGGAAAATGAAGGAACGAAAATCGTACATAGCTACTCAGCTTGCCGGTTACCAAGAGACAATATCTCCTGACATTGTTTCACTGAGGTAGATAGAACTTTTAAGTCAAAAGCTCAGGGAGTGATCTTTGGGTTTGGGTGTAAGGGGAGAATGCTACTTCACACACGTACGATGATGAATAATTGGGACGAAAATGTACTGCGCATTTCCCCTTACTATCCATAATAACAATATTTGAAATCGTTTTACTTGAGGTGAATTTATTTTAAATCGGATGAAGTTTTATTTTATTTTACTAACATTCTGTGTGTACTTTCATTCTTCAATTTACTAATCACGTCGTCTTTATTGAATCTTAGTCTAAACGGTCTAAAGTTGCTGAATAGTTAATTTCAAGGATGTCATTAATAAATATGAGATCTATCAGATTTTCTAAAGCTACGTATCCCATTTAAGCATGCCTCCTTCAACGCTCCAAGTTTGATCCAAGTCAAAAAATTTATAGGTTTAGTCCACAAAAATTTGTGATATTGATAAATGATGTATATCCGAGACGTGTATTAATGGTTTCGTCGAAGTACAACCTATACTATCTATATCTGTCGATTCTAAACGTCTGTACCATGTGAACTTTATCAGGAACTTTGTAGTATTGGCGTCTGTTATCAGAGCTAGGCTAGGATTTATCGATCGGATTCCCGTTGGTGGTTACTTATGTATTGTTAATTTAGTAGGATGGATGAAACTGAGAAAAAACTAATGTGGCTAATAATGTCTTTTCGTAATCTCTGCCTACGACCCGACAGATTATAACGTGGATGCATTCAAGGATGAGATCTATGGCCAATTAAACGACCTTTTCAATAAAGGGCACTTAACGGATAGATGAATATATTTAGAAGAAACATCAACAATAATATAATTGGCATTAAAGTCAAAAACTGATTACTTGAATTTAACAAGTCCACTGAAGATAAATGACCAGCCAGAGTTTCCAATGATGATCGAGAAAAGGCAAATGCTATAGTTGGCATAAGGTCACGCTCTTGAAGAAGGTGAATTACTCCAAGCCATAAATTTTTGGTACGATGATCATGTACACTTATTCCGTTAGTTGCTAATGAAGTCAAATAAATATAAAATTATTCTAAAAACTTTTGAATCAATATACTACAATAAATAATAACGTAACTCATTTGCCAAGCAAAGGGTTTACGTAATAGACTTTGATACACAATTTATGTGGAAGCTAGTGAGACAATACCATTGCCTAAACCGAACGGGGTTAAAATTTGTGAATATACATAAAGTAATGGTTGTCTTTTTCTGTCATAAAGATTAGGCACATTATGATGCAACAGCTAAGCTACATATGATTGATATGTTGTAATTCTTAATTTCATCATCATGAGAGCTATACAGTATATAAATTGTTAGTAACACACACACTTCATGTTAAAATAGCCAGTACTTGAACTTAAGCTCTATGTAACTTTGATTGGCCTCTGAAAAATTCTCTATCGAATCTAACATGCGATCAGTAGTTCCGTTATATTAATCGAGCTGTGAAAGATGTCTTTTGATAACACTGAAAACCATTCATACAATGACACCTTAACATTAACTACTGAAATACAACCTAAGAATGCAATGATCAGGTAATCGTTTTTGTTATAGGAATTTTATCAGAGAACAAGTGTTACATGTTATTAATTCATTTAAACGTAACACGATTTCTGCGTGAAATATTGTTGATTGATATGTAGTGAAGAAGAACACGGATGGGGACAATCGATCGTATTTAGCACAAAAATTACAGACTATCTCAGTAAAATGTTAATACCATAAAGTCAATTGTCAATTTGCAAAATATCATTCCATCATATCAAACTGTACTGTTCCCGTTGCAAACACTAATCCATTGTCTCCCATTCCATTGTACATGCGTTTTCTTACAATTCCATTGTGCTCTTGCTCTTCCTTTCTTGATCTTCGCCATCTTCTGTTGCCGGACATTACGTTCTGTTAACGCACGTTATATACTACTTATATCAATATAAGTAGCTCACACCACAGATATACTGATTTTAATGTACAAGAATATTGGGTTAAAATAGGACACAGAAAACTCAAACGCTAATGATTCGAAAGGCTCAGCTAAAATAGATTAGAAATGTATGTGCAACAGGATTTCTTTAAGCTAACTTTTAAACACGACGCACAAAATGAAATATTTCGACCATTTGTAAGTAATTTTCTGAACCCATAATTTCTGTCCATGTGGTGTAGCGGTGAAAAATGAGTTGCGATTCGATTTAGGTGTACACAAAGCTAATATAATAATCAAATAATTTCACTGAAATTATGAACCGACCAATGAAAACCTGGAATAGCTTAACGAGCTCCACAACCTTATACTGATAATTATCATATCGTCACTATTGACTAGCTTAGAGATAATTCCTCGAATTTCGATGAAAAGTCGTGACTAGTGGAGTTCAAGCGTGACGGATGTGAGGCCATTAAAGAAAATGAAACATGGTCGTGCAATATCGTGAATTGGTTGAGGTTAGACATTAGCACCGTCCGTTTTCAACTGAATGGTCGAGAGGCTAAGCATTTGCGCGCGATATCGAAAGTCCTGGGTTCGATTATCACATGCGAGACAGTAGATGCGCACTGCTGAGTCCCATACTAAAACGAAACCATCATCCAGTGCTTCCGGATTCTCATGGTAGTCTAATATTGGTCGGTTCCTGATCTCAATGAAACTCAACAACCTTATACTGACCTAAAATAATTCTCTATAGCTTACGTGGTAATGCACGGAAATGACCTGGAGTATTCACTTTACCACCAGTATTCTTTCGTGGCACGTTTTTAGCATTCGATGGATTTGCCGGATTTTCAGTAGGTTTCTTTTTATCAACATCTTTTTCGCCGCTAAGCATACGATTTGCCTGTTTATAACCTATATTTGTGTGAGAAAGGTGTGAGAAAAAGAAAACATGACATTTTGGGAGTTATTTTTTAGTGAATCAGTTTGTAAATAGTTATGAAAGCATTTATAAATGATTTTGTAGATGACAGTTTACATAGCTCTAATTGTATTCTTATATTCTATACAAGTCTAAGAGCTAATGCTACAATGCCTACAACTCTAACGCAAATAGTAGAAACCGGAAAAACAACGACATTTTAAACTGAAACTTAATACTGCACATATAATGAAGAGAGAAAAGTTGTATTTTCCATAACAGGTTTTGCGGTTTCTATAAAAAAGATTCATTAAATAATATTTATCTCATACAGATAATGAAAGTGTTCACAGTCTGATATATGAGCTCTAATGGTCTACTGGATGAAAATAAGAGGATTCACGGTTCCTTCAGGATCAGGGTACGAACTAAAGCGATAATGACTTAAACAATATTGATGATAATAAATACTGATAAACATAATTTAATGTTTGCAACCATAAATAATTCATAAATATAAATTGATTTTGTGTTCGATTCGTAGCTGGAATTGTGGGTGTATACGGTTCAGAAGAGATAAAAAACAAATGTTTTCTAAATGTGAAATCTTTACGAATAGCAATATGAACATGAAGACAAAAACTATTCTATATATATATATCATTAAAAAGAAAACAGCTTAACCTGGTAAACTGAATTGACCAGCTTGATCTACAATTAGATGAAGATGATCTTTACTACGTTGACCATCCATACCGGTAAAAAGAAAATGTTCCAATGGAACTGGACGTTTATTAGTTGCAACTACATGAACTTCAGTTCCACGTACACGTCCTAACCAATCAGCAAAATCAAGTTTATTAGGAACTGTTGCACTTAACATAACTAATAACACGTGTTTAGGCAGCATTATCATAATTTGTTCCCATATATGACCTCTTTCTACATCATTGACATAATGAACCTGTAGAGAAAGAGAAATATACGTATACATATAAACATTTTGAGCACTAAAAGAATACATAAAAAGTAACTGTTACCTTGGTTGGCTACATAATTAGAAAAACAGATTGTAAATACAATAAACAAAATCACTATGATAGATTACAATTGTTTAGTTCATAAATATAATAGTAGTTGGAGATTAAAATTCTTTAAAATATGAGCAACTGACTAATTATATCAAAATATCTATTATTATTTTTATTTATTTTATTTTAACACATAGATATTGGTACAAGGAGGCACCAAATGCATATGCGCCACACAAATCTCATTCGACATGTGTGAGGGCTGTGGTACTGCCCGGGTACCCAAACCGAAGCAGGTGGTTTTCTTAAGGGGCCACTTCCCGAGCCTTCGACCTGGAGGTCTGATCCACAAGGCAGTGGAGCATCGTGAGGAGATGCAGTCCCATGTTAGCCGGTGACCAACAATTGGTTCATACGCCATTTATTCCCGCAGGATACTGGAGCCCATGTGCACCATTGGTTTGGAATCCGGTTAAAGTGCCGGACATTCGCTTTTCTCCTCTCATTTTCGCAAACAACACCCCGGCCACGAGAAGGCAGTGAGTAGGACTTCCCTGGCAGAGGCTATATACGCGTGGCCATGTGAGAGCATTTCGAGAGGGAGAGCGGACTCTCTCCACTCTCAGCCGTACCAGGGCATTTGGGGGCTTGATGAGTTCAACAAGGCAAGAACAGTAAAATTTACACAATAAAATGAACTTATGAAGTCTTAGTAACTACTCTGAATAGTCTACATTTACAAATAATCCGCAAAGGATGCACATATGCCACTAAGAGACTGGTCAAGTGACGTTTTATACATCAATGGGAAGATTCAAATAAACAATATAAAAATGAATTAATACTTCACCTAATGGCTATTAGGATTCAGTAGCTAAATTTTTATAACTTGTGACCCGAGGGCCCTGTTAATGTATAACGTAACGATACTGCCAATTAGAGAGCAGTGAATTATCGATCGGACCAATGACGCGTAAACCCGTACGAGCAGTCTAGTGTATTTATCGGTCCTGCTTCCTGCCTAGCCCAGCCAGTTAAGTCCAGAACACCAATCTCAGCCTCCACGATATGAATCGTTTATTTCAAGCATACTGGGTTTATATGCCAACCAGACAGACCACACTGTACCATAAAATCTGAAACAACATTTGTACAAGAACTAGGCAAATGTGGTTGTGAATGTGAGAGGTAGTAATTAATAGACAGGCCATAATTCAAGAATGGTAAATCGTATAGTAATAGTTCATAGGTCAAAATGAAGCTCATAATAAGAGGGATACGGATATGAACATTTTAGTTAAATAACAATTATACGATAAAAATATACTTATCGTATTGGTCCATAAATGGATACAAAAGTTTACATTTATTATGCTTATCGGGACATGACTTAAGTGAATAACGCAATTACGTTTAAAGCGATTGAAACTGGATTTGAGTCTCGGAGGGAACATTAATCCAGTTGACGAGTATCGAACAGAACGAACCGCGCGTCCTGTATTCCACTTTTGCTTACAATAATAGTAAGATTTCAAGTAGAAGACGCAAATACGTTAGTTAATAAAGAAGTTGCAATAAATACTTAGCAAAATAAAACGAACAAAATACATTGTCGTTGACATTAAAGCATATTTATGGGTAGAAAAGCTGAAGAGATTGAGATCACAAATAATAACATCAGTAATAAAATAACGATTGGATCACGAAAACATTTAATCAGAATGAAACGTTTCGTCAAATTATTTTCAGAACTACGTTTCTAGCATGATAGAACTTGAGTAAATAAGCATTGTATTCAGTATAGTTTCACCAGGTCATCACAATAATGGCGCCTAGTTGGTGCATCAACACTGTGGCAGTCAGTCACTAAGTCAGACAGCACAGACCGTAGTGAACGAGCCCACTGGCAAGTCTCTTTATTCGAAAAATAAACTACCTACCAAAGCGCAACTATACAACGCAACGGTAAGCTATAATTTAAAATAGAGTTGTGAGAAAAGACCAACAGACATAATATATATACGGTGTATTTAGAATACAATCGTGTAAAGGAAAACCAATGAGTGGGTACTGTCAACATAAAGCTAAGTCCAAAACAAGAGAGATAAATCAATCGACTAAAGCAGTCAAGATATACGTTGAGAATGTTAGGTTGCCACTTCGTGTACTGCTGAGTACTATAGGGTCAGAGAAAGAGGGGAAGTGTGGAAAGATTGAGATATAGAGTGATTATTACGCCACTAACTGCTGATATAAGCATTGAACGCTACGTGAATGAGATCTTCGAGAAGAATCAATCACCGAAGATTATCCGATTCCTTCATGAATTCAAATAATGATAACATGACCTGAGATCAATCACAATCCAGCAGATACATTCAGATTGTAATTACATATTGAACACATTGTAGCATCTAAGTTGAAATTGTCTATTTCGTTTGTATTCATGTACCTCTATTTGCGTTAGACTTTTTCTGTGTTGTGACAAATTAAAACTTGAACTGATGGACATTCCGGGTTTTGTTGTCGGCTTTTGACGGTTATTCATTAGAGCTAGAAAAAGTACTCCCACTGAAGAACTAGCAGATTTCAAAATCTGTTACAATATACGGATTTAAATTGTAATGATTTGGATTATCCCGATTTTGATATTTTGACTGAATTTTGATCCGTCTTAGCACATATGAGCCCGGTGGGGATTGTCTCAAAATAGCCACTATGAAACAAGTTTATATGGAATAGACGGATAACACTAATCAAAATTCAGTCGAAATATTAACAATTGGATAATCCAAACCTTTCCGAATTAGATTAAAATTCATACTCGTTGCACAAGTGAGTGGCTATGAGGAATCAGTGGCATTAACATTTGAAGTGAGATGTACTGAGTCCGAATCCCAAAGCGAACATCAACTCTAGGATGCAGATATATCCAGATGACGAGTCCCAAGTGGGACGGAACGCACAACCTGGATTTTACTGGAAGCCACATCCTATCTATTAGATATAGACAAAAAGACCTTTTAATAAGGTTATATGTTAATCAATTATGGAACATATGAAGTCTGATAAGTACTAAAATATATCATTACCACAAACGATTTGTTTATCTTTAAATAGTAACAGATCAAACAATAATCTGGAAAGATGGAGACTTGATGATAAGATTTCTCAGTTAACTAAACATCTTATTAATCTTATTTAGCCCATGATCTGGAACAAGACAGCAGTGCACATTGCCACTGCACTAAGTTACTACTTTGTTGTATTCAATGAAGTTAGGTGTGTCAGTGTATGTAAATTTTATGATCAATGTTACAAAGTCATAGAATTTTGATAATATGAAGATTTATACACAGTTTGATTCTGTGAAATGATTTTAAGAAATAGAGTACGTTACTAAATAGGCTAAAATAATCAAAAAATGGCAAATTACAGAAATACAATTGTAAAAAGAAAATTGACCTGTGTAGTTTATTGGGTTGTCCTTAGTTCACAACTGTTAGATCATGAATTTTAAACATTACTCACTTACAAAGGCATTTCAAGCTTGACACATGATTCATGGATTACAAACTGAAATCGAAAGATGTGCCCAAGTACAAGACTAATTCCTAGTATTGTAGATCGTTAAACTAGAGATTCAACTATAAACCCTCTTATCAATAAGGTTTTTGGGAAAATTAATACGGTGGGATACAGCTGGGTTTATGAATATATATGTAAATGCTGAATTGGATTTTGTTTCGATCTGGGTACCCGAGCAGTATCACAGTCCATACACAAATCACATGAGTTGTGTGGCGCATATCTCTTCGGTGACCCTTCGTACCGATATTTATGTGTTCAAATAAATAAATAAACCAGTATGAAGAGAATTATGAACATATAGGCAATAAATATTTTAAAAAATACTTGCTTCGTCCATAATGACTATTTCCAGATCTCTGATAACATCAGCATCGTTACACAACATGTTATGCAGAATTTCCGTGGTCATTATTAGAATTGTAGATTCGGGAGCCAGTTTGATATCACCTGTAATTAGTCCAACACTATCTCCGAATGTCTGTCTACAATCCATTTCAAAAAATATGAAAATGGTAGTTAGGAGACAACAAACCAGGTTAGCAATAATTCACTTGATATTGTTTTACTTGAATCTTCCCATTGATATTTTTGGACTGAAATCGATCAGTCTCTTATTGGCATATGTGCGTATGCCTCGATATTGCCTTAATTTACAAGCATTATAAGCAAAGATGGATAGTGGCTAGCAGTGGAATCCAGGACGCGCGTTTCATCCTGTTTGGTACTCGTCAGCTGGATGTACCTGCATCTCAAAGTTGATGTTCACTCTGGGACTCGAACTCAGTACCGTTCGCTTCAAACGCCATCGCGTTATCCACTTAGCTACTGAGTCCTGATAGCCACTTGCTTGTGCAATGGGTTGAAGTTTAATGCAGGTACATCCAGCTGACGAGTCCCAAACAGGACGAAACGCGCGTCCTGGATTCCACTGCTAGCCACTATCCAGGTTAGCAATAGTCTGCTGTTAGTTACAGCTGGCATCAGGTAGACGTATCGAATTGTATTTTAATGCTAAATTTTAGGCTTTTATGCACACAGTAAAGACAAAATTATATACTATTTTTCAGTAGTAAAACGTTTGTCTAGAAAACGTTATTGAAAAACGATATGTAAGATATATGCAGTTGGGCACTGTTAATTTCATCTAGAAATCTAGTTGCCAGGATTACTTAAGGAATATGAAAACACTACAGATAAGTACCTCAACAATGGGATGGCGAAGTGGTTTAATACATTGTGAAACTAACTCAAATGGAAATTTTTATTGACTCCCGTAAACCGACGACAAAAAAAATCTCAGCACAACCCTCAAGTTCAAACATACAATACAACTAACTAGAAGAACGACCACTAGATATAAGTGAATGGCACAGTAAACAGAACAGAAGCACAGAATATTTACCGTCAAATTTTCAACCTCTATAAGAGTTGAGAGGGATTTTTGTGTCTCACTGTCGTTATGCCTAAATGATGAGGGAATTAAGACTAGTCAGTGTTCGATCAATCGTTTCAGCTGTCTGTTGTGAGCATGGAATCTTGACTGATTATATTCAACGATGATTTGGATTATCAGCTTCTTACTTATAAAAACTTATCCCTGATAGATAAGGTTCATTGTTGGATCAAAGTCTTAAAAAGAGACTGAGATTATTAGGTTGTACGTAGTATGATTTCGCAAGCGTTACCTTCACTAATTTCAATTTGAAATGGTCTACAATGACTGAAATACTAAGCATTATATATTTTATTTTAAGACACCTATTAAAAAATTGAAAACAAAATAAGAACTACATTTTTCAAGATTCACACTAAATATAAAAAATAAGAAGCTATTAGCTACCAAATTAAAACGCAATTTATCCCAAGATACGGTGAGAACAGTATACCTGAAATCATAAAACTTTTGATTCGATAAAGCTTTAATCGGACTCGTATAGATAACTCTTGTGCCCCGACGTCGACAGAGAGCACAAGCATATTCTGCGACAACCGTCTTCCCAGCCGAAGTATGGGCTGCTACAAAGACTGTTTGATTACGCTCAAGGCACAAAATAGCTTGTTTTTGAAAGGTATCTAGTTCAAATTTCCAATTGAATGCCGGGTTGTCCACAAGTTCAGTTAAAGGTGGGAGTTCACAAGTGGTATCCTCCTAGAAATCAGAATTACGAAAACTATTGATATAATTGTATTAAATCATTTGACAGTACATTACTACAAAAAATTTACACCATAGAGATTAACAAATTTAATTTTCCCATTTGTATTTTAGTGGATTAATTGTAATTTTTAAGTAAAATACGAAAATTTTAAATGTTTTTGCAGTCGGATAAATAAACTCTATTAACATTATTACCGCAGTGAACGAAGACTTGGTGAAGTAAAAAGATTTATTATTTTATGTAAAATCACAAAGTGACTTTCTAAAATATGATTGTCATGCATTAAATACATCATATGCACATCTTCTTTCAGTTATCCTTTACATACTCCATCATTCTTCCAATTCCGTTGTTATTCCGATTGCTCTCTGTTTTCCATCCTCTTCTCTTTATTTCAATATTCTGTCGGTAGGCATTTCACTTCGAAATCCTATAACATCCTACTTATATCAGTTCGCATAAGTAGCCCACACTACAATAAAGTTATCAATTTTTGCCTTTTCATAGAACAGATACTAGTTCCAAAGTAATTCGCTATCAGTAAGTCATGCAGTCAGCTACAACGTAGGACCAGGCACATATATGCATCGGTCCACGTTACCATACCTCATTAGCACAAGATGAACACCGGATTCATAGAAGTACTTCATTCACTGGTTGCAATATATAAAAGAAACAATGCATTCAAGGACATAGTACAGGAAGAAAGAATTAGTTCGTAGAAAACAAGATATGAAGAGATCTTAATCTCTTAGTTTAAGGGAAGACAGAGAGTGCATACACCTACAATATTGTGATCGATTCTCAGCCATGTCACTCAGTCTCTAACGACAGTCACGCGGACCACAACCAAGTAGTCTGCATCTACCAACATGGCTTAACCTAGAAGTTAGTGGCCCCAAGCACTGATGCCACGTTTCGGTCTGGCCGCCCTAACTTTCTTCCAACCATCCCCAACATCGGTCACCATTGTGCGTCATAATAATTGGTGGTTGGACCTGAGTAATACGTGGCCCAACCATTTCAGTCAATGAAGGTTCACAACCTCATCAACGCATTTACCATCATTCCCTAATACCCTGCGTATAATTCATTATTACTCACCCGGTGATAATAGCAGATACAAGCAATATTTCTAAGACATCTTTGGTCAAATACTAGTAGCTTACGAGTATCTTCTACTCTTAATAGCCACGTTTCGCAGCCATAAAGTAAAACATAACGAACTGCCGCACAATATACTCGTCCCTTAATTGATAGGTGAATAACTCGAATTCGCCATTGGTGTGAGTTGGCAAAAGCCAAACGAGCATTCTGAATCCGTGCCGAGAACTCGTCAGATGCCAAACCGTTAGGGCCGAACAGACTTCCGAGATAAGTGCAGTTGTCGACGCGTTCGAATACTTCACTCCCTATCCTTAGTTCAGGCGTTGCCGTAGACCAGTCCTGAAGCAACAACTTGCATTTAGAGGAGGAAACGCATCCCAAACATTCTGGCGTTGTTACTCAGTGCTACCAAAAGACTGCATTTTATCAGCGTCTTCACCAAACAGGACTATATCATCTGTGTATTCTAAGTCGATAAGTGGACCTCCTGGTAGAAAATCAATGCACGAAAATTCAGTCGATGAGAGCGTTATTTCTATCAGTATGTCTATGACGAAGTTGAATAAAAATGTCGAAAGTGGACAGCCTTGACGGACACCACGTGAAGTTGCAAAATCAGATGACAGTTCACCTTATGCTATAACTTGACTAGTAGTGTTCGAGTAAAGAGCCTTCACAAGGTTTATGTACTTCTGAAGTACGCCTTTTAATGATAGACACTGCCATAGAACCTCTCGGTTTACAGAGTCAAATGCTGCTTGCATGCTTGTGTTCTAGAACCTGACGAATGGTGAATATGTGGTCGATGCAGCCACGACCAGGTCTGAAGCCAGCCTGATTTTCTCGTGTTTGCAGTTCACGAGTCTTAGTTAGACGATCGATAATTATTGACGCTAATATTCTACATGCTGTATTAGTCAAACTAATCCCTCTATGGTCGTCACTGGATGATTTGACCCTTTCTTATATATCGGGACGATAAGTGATTGTGACCAGCCATATGGGATTACGTCAAACTCCCAGATTTTAGCTAAAATATCAGTCAACCTAATCGCTAAAATTGAACCACCATACTTAAAGATCTCTGGAGCCAATTCATCTGAGCTAGCTGCTACGAGTACTATGTCTGAGCGTTCAGAATTATAAAGAAGTTCAGAAAGCTTCCTGTAAAACTCATCTTTCACTTCATCCGGGCTGCAATCAGTGGGACCATAGGCAGAAACAACGAAAAGGCAACGATGTGTGTCCCTATCCTTCCGAGTTCTAACGGAGCTGTTGAGCCGAACAACATATAGACGACTGTTAACGGGGATCCACTCCAATAGTGCTTGTTCTGCCCTCGTACTTGGTGCTATGTCTACACCCGCCAGTCCACGAAAACTAGCCACCGCGTCGCCAGATACACGGAGAGTGCATCTCATCGACTCTCCGTTTTGACGAGTCGACGTCAAGTGAATGACCACACTAGGATCCTGTATGTGTGTTTCGGAGACACAGCATATATCAATGGTACGAGATCCTAGGGTTTTAGCCCAGGACGCCTGCTGGGCAATTTGACACAGGGTGTGTACGTTGAAAGCTTCAATGTGTAGTTTGGAGCGCGGTTTCAGTAGACCTAGGACAATGTTTTACACACTAGAATCGTTGACTATAGTGACACTTGAGGAGGAAACCAAAAGAGGAGGTTTAGTCGATGTAGGAGGAATAATAGGAATTTGCTAGTTTTACAATACATCAGCAATGGATAATGAAACAGAAACCAGTGTGTTCTCTAGTATTAATTTAAATTAGGTTCGAAGTCTCAAGAATCTGAATGCAGAAAGCGCTAAGTATCTTCCTACTTTTCAACAATATAATTAAAATCTAAATGGAAAAAAGGCTACAGGATTGTTTACGTCATCTACGATACTCCAATGCCTTGTGGGTTAGACCATTAGGCCGAAGACTCGGGGTGTAGCCCCCTAAGATAACCACCTGCTACGGTTTGGGCACCCGGGCAGTATCACAACCCACACACAATTAATGAACTGAACTGTCTATGATCATGGAAACTAATTCATTTGCTTCGACGAACATTCAAATGATTCAATTATTATTATTGCTATTATTATTATTTACTACGTAATTAATTCACCTTCGCTTATTCGCACTCTGTTTATACTTATTTTTTTCGACTTACACAGCAGCTCGTCTATGGTGGAAATCCGACTGTATCTAAACGTTCTCGAGTCACTGTCCGGTTGAAAATTGTGTGTTACCACCGAACACGAATACTGAAGCAGTTTTTATGAAACCACGTGCACCATTCAAACTGGCTGCCTTCAACGTTCGCACATTTATGTAGGTCGAACAACAGATAGGGCTGGCTGTGTCTTTGGAAAGTCTTAATATTGATGTTTGTTGTCTATCCGAGACCCGTATTCAAGACTCTGGTGAAGTACTACAAATTCGCTCTCGACCTGTCGCTTCGAAAAGCTTGTTTTACGTGCGCTTATCCGGGAACCCTGTGGCATCTTCGTCTGGTCTTGCTGGCGTTGGTGTCGCACTAAGCGCTAGAGCTGAGGCAGCACTAATCGATTTGATCCCCATTAACAGTCGGTTATGTGCTGTTAGATTAGAAAGTTCCATCAAAGTGAGAAGAAATCGGCGTGAGAAACGATGTCTTTTCGTCATCTCCGCCTATGCCCCGACAGATTGCAGCCCGGATGCAATCAAGGATGAGTTTTACCACCAGTTATCTGTTCTTCTCGAGAAAGTGCGTTCGACAGATATTGTAGTACTAGCCGGAGACTTGAATGCTCAGGTCGGGCGTCTAGGCACAGAAGAGAGTCGTTTAGGTGGCCGATGGGGACTCGTTGGTCGCAGGTCAGATAACGGGGACCGTCTACTGCAACTGTGCACAGACCACAACCTGTTTCTGGCAAGCACTAACTTTCGGCACAGACATTGCCGATGTGCCACCTGGCATTCTCCCATTGCATCTCAAGCCTGGACTCAGATTGATCACATCGCGATCAGCTTCCTCTGGCGTGGTTGTGTACAAGACTGCCGCTCCTTTTGGAGTACCTATCTGGACTCTGACCATGCCTTGATCTGCGCCAATCTTGCCTTACTTTTCAGTGGACAACGAAGTGACCGCCACCAACGGATTGATGTTAGCAAGCTGGTTGCAACTTCTGTTGCTAGTAAGTATCGAATCGAGCTAGCTTCTAGGCTAGCTACTATTCCACCGAAAAGTATAGATGAGCATTGGTTGCAATTGCATGACGCCATGAAAATGGCGGGTACAGTCAGTTGTGGGTTCGCGAAACGTCCCGCTTATAAGCACTGGGTTTCTTCAGGCTCCTTACAACTCACTGAAGCCCGTCGGTCTACTCCGGGTGCCCGTGAGTTTGACCATAAACGAAGGTTGTTACGTAGTGAAATTGGGCAAAGCTTGCGTAAGGACCGAGAAGCCTGGTGGTCGAAGCGCGCTAATGAGCTGGAAGCAGCAGCTGTATCTGGTAACTACCGGAAGCTCTTCCAACTCATCCGAGCCACTGGCAGCAAGAAGTCTGGTGTGAGCGAAACAATCTGTGAGGATGATGGGATGCCAATCACTAACATCCATCGACGTCTTGGACGATGGGCAGAATTTTTCGAAGGGCAGTTCAACTGGCCTGCTGCTCCGGCAACATCGGTCAGACTGGCCTGCCCTCGATAACCGGTGACGACTGATCCACCAAATGAGGAGGAAGTCTGCAAGGAACTCCGACTCTTTAAACACTACAAATCACCTGGCCCAGATGACTTACCTCCGGCTCTTTTTAAAGATGGTGGTGACTTTTTGACTAAGGAATTGACGACGTTGTTTGCAAAGGTTTGGGAACTAGAGAGTGTACCA